CATACTATTTTTTATCATTAGGGGGGGGGGGGTGAGGTAAAATGGACACTTTAGACTTTTTTTAAATTACTCATAACTCAGAAACAAATTTATCAATGGAGCTCAGTTAACGTTCATCCCAAAGGGCAAGAATTGTTCTTTGCATTGAAAAAAAATCATTAAATTTCATCACCATTTCAACCTGTCATTACCATTTTTAAAAAAGTCAAAAGTGTACATTTTACCCCAACCTCCCCTACACGCTAAAGTTTGATTTTCTTGTAAATACTAGGAGGGACGTAAATGAAAGCATCATCCCGTATTATATCATCGTCGAAAACAACAGAAATCCGAGGAATGAAATAAACCACTTTATTCTGGTTATTTGGAGAGGAAAATTGGACTATCCCCGCAAATATAAGGAATAATCATATTTTCCATACAGGCTGTAGAAAAATTAGATTAGATTAAAAAAAAATCAGGATATAGGTTTTCTAGCCCCTCAACCTTCTGTGAAAAATCCTCGTTCACTTTCAACAGGGTGAGGATCAGGGGTCACCCGATTTGACATGGAATACCTCATATATGTATTTCTCGGGATCAAGACGATATGAGCGGAGACATCAAAAAATCTTATTTCGTCTCGTCTCGTCTGGTACATAATGCTACGCTCGCCCCGTGACGAACCGAAGGGTTGCGAGCCTATTCGACAGAAGCAACAGATCGTTATTTTATTCGTTATTGGTAGTTTGATTCTTTCTCTCTGCACCAATTTCATTGACAATAAGCTGTCGAATGGATCTGTCGCAATGGTTCTATGATAAATTCTCCTGAAAATCCTTCTTGGAAAATTGCCTATATATTTTTTTCACCGATTTCCATCATTATTTTTATGGTTATTTTCATTTGTTTGAATGGTAAATTATTTATTATTTCTAAGATTATTCTTGTCCAGTGTCCCTTTTTTAGTGTTCAATCTTCCCATGATGGAATTTACGCAATGGCATAATTTATTACTGTTCATACCAGGAGATAGCATATCTATAATCACACCTGACGCTAAAGTATGAACGTTAGGTACCCAAATCGTCTATATACTCCTATCGCACATGTTACGTGCACGTTGATGAAACTTTAAGGTACACGTTAAGTGCACGTTACAGACACTTCAAGGTGGCCTCCATTCCATGCTGAAGTGTGAACGTTAGGTACCCAAATCGTCTATATACCCCTATCGCACACGTTACGTGCACGTTAATGAAACTTTAAGGTTCACGTTAAAGGCACGTCAAGGTACACCTCAAATCCACGCTAAAGTGTGAACGTTAGGTACATAAATCGTCTATATGCCTCTAACGTACATTTAACGTGTATGTTAGAGGCATATAGACGATTCAGGCAATCCAAGGTACACGTGAAATCCACACAAAATAACTCATCACTTACCTTGGTATCAACGTTGTGTACATGAATAGTCCTCGTCCCGCCCGTCCACGTTAAAGTCACGTCGAAATTAAAGTCGTTGAAAACAAGGCACACGAAGTGCACGGTAAAATCACCTTAGAATTAAAGTCGTTTAATGACACACAAAAGGCACATGGAAAATTCAATCAATTTTATAAAATAGTGTCTCTTCTAGGGAATTTTTTAGGGAGTAAGTACTTTTAATGTGCGCTTAACGTGTCTTTAACGTATATATTTTTTCCACGTGCCTTTTACGTGTACGTAAGGGACACGTTAAAGGCACGTTATTTCCACGTTATGTACAAACATCCATAGCGTTCATTTATTACTGTTTCATCACTGAATCAAGTTGTTAAACTGACTATTATTGATGGTGTTCTTCAACTACTTTCAATGAGTGCGCAGAGGATTAGCTATACTACTCATACCAATTATGCAGTATTTAACTAAGGTATGTTATATGAACCAAAAAAACACGGCGTTCAACAAAATAAAAATATTTTCAATATTGTTATATTTCTCCATTTTTGAATATTTTCCAATTTCAAACTTGTTTTTATATCTCATTTAACAAAATAATCTATTATTTCGCATATTGCACAATATTGAATCACAACATCCAATTTTCCCGTTTTTTGGCAGGAACATTTTTTAGAATTCGATTTAATCAATCAGACATAATCCTACATATGGGATGGTTTTGTGAATATCGGCAAGTCATTGTTTGATATCCATTTCAATAGTTTATAGTTTATATACATATTTTAATAGTTTATATACATATTGTCACTCGAGCCGAAATAACCGATTTCTTCATTATGTCAACAAAAGAATACTCAACGTTTAATATAAGACTAATTTGCAATTACTCATTGTATTGTCTAGCTTGATTTAATAACTATTCTTCCAATACGGACGTAGATCCAACAAAACTCCTCAGTGGTCTGTTGATTAATCTGTCAGTTTCTGGCTCGGTACTTGAAATTGTAGTTGACTCAACCTCTGACTCTGTCGAATAGCGTCTTCCATCCCTATTTTATGCAATGGCAAAACCTTTTGGATCCGTGGTCGAGGCATTTGGCACTCTCAGCATACGAATTAATCCTACTAATCTCCTCATCAGAAACACTATAATTTCCTTTTCCATGGACTCTAATGGTCGTCTCAAATTTGCCCCCTCCAGGAGTCACTTCAATCAAGTAAAAATACCCCTCAACAGTAATAGAATGAGTTGAAAAATTATGCAGGTCAATAATTTTATCTACTCTATGAATCTTCTTAATCCTAAACTTTGCGCAGAGTCTTTTCCCCTTCTTATCTCTATAATCTTTAACAGTCTTCTCCACATGTTGGAGAAATGCTTTAGCACCTTCTTTAGCAATTTCGTCGTCAGTATTCCCAGGCTTAAAGGCAGTACAAGTGCACCAGTGAGGAGAAACTCCGGCGTCCGCACAACCTCTCTCAATTGGCACTGGTTTTAATAAACTTTGGCATGTGGAACATCCACTGCTGGCATTAGCATCACCTCCAGACTTGATAAGGACATGGCGAAATGTCTCATAAAGGTCATAAGGCGAAGTCAGACGATGCTCATTGATTCTAAGTGATTGAAATACACTGGCATCTTCTTTCATCCACTCCGGTGGTTTCAAGTAAATAAAGGGCAATCTCTCCTCATACCAGCCAATAAATGTATTTCTTATCCCGCCCCACCGCATGCCGTGATCACTCAGAAACACCATCAAAGTATCACTTGTCACTCCTGATTTTTCAAATTTTTCGAACATTTCCAAGAAGTGATCGTCCATAGATGATGGGCCATTCACATCTTCATGACTGACCGTATTTGTCCAGAAGAATCCGAAGTAAGGAAAACCAAGAAATGTCTTGGCAAAGTTCAATGCAGAATCGAAGATCCTGTCGACTACTAATTCAGGTCCAGTGCAGTATTTAGCATTGAATCTTTTTTTGGATTTCAAGAGCTTCTCGGTGGCTATCATATAGGGCCTAAGATAATAATCTGTCGGGGGATCAACAAATCCAACTTTTAGGTAGTTAAATGTGCTCAGAGGGACCACATCTTCAGCATAAGCAGTGACGTATCCAGCGTTTCTGAAATTATGCCATAAAAATGGGCAGTTGTCCAAACCGTAGGCTTGGAATGGCTTGCAGTTCGCATAGGCCGTCGTGCTATTTTGACCGGTGAGAATCGCCATCAAATTTGGAAATGTGTTGTCTCCCATTTTGTTGTATCCTTGCAGGTTGATCCAACCGGTGTCTGTCAAGTAACGCCTGGTCTTTGGTAAGCTTCGCTGAAAATTCAGGCGGGAAACGCTGTCTATTCCTAGGACTAGGATGCTAATTTTTCTTCTGACCCTTGTTTGATTTGTTTGACCCTGTTCAAAGGATTCCGAGATGTTGAGTCTGCTTTGAACCTTTACGGCGCTCAGAATGGGGTGGATGTTCTCGTAGAGGATGTGAGATTTACTGCGGATGTTCTTTGAGGTGCCTTTTGGTCTGCAGGAGAGCATGACAGTTTCTATATCAGGTGGTAGCTGTACGCGATTGTCGAAGTCTTGACATTTTCCTAGGCTGAAAGATGTAGCAAGAATTAGCAGCAGGCATTTTTATGAATCTGGTCCATACGTTAAATATCGAAGGGTATCCATTATGAAACGCGAAATATACTATTTCGGCCTTGTGACGAAAACAGCTCCCAGGCAGCCAAAATCCGCTCTACTGACGTTCTACTGTCGACAGGGACCGATGGGTTGCTGTCGTGCCACCGTCGACAGCAACAGCATCGAAAGGCCGGCAGGACATCGTCAATAGTCGGGGGTTTATGGGGCACAGTAAAACTCGTGAAGGATAGTACCTCTATTCTACATGCAAAAGGCGTATGCGGGAGTCCAGGTAGAACCCTTTGCCAATGATACACTTTTTTACTTTTCATCACGCTGTGACGAAAAGTGAACTTTTCGGCACGCTCGGCGTGCCTAAAAGTCCAATTTCCGCCACATTGTGATGAAAAATATTGTTCGTAACTCGTGAAAAAATGTTTTTTGCACTCGTTACGAAATATACTATTTTAGGCCATATGACGAACAATATTTTTTGTCATAATGGTAGAAATGAAAAAAAGAAATGAGTTACAACACATAAAGAAACGGTCAGATAGCTTCTACCAAAAAGGCTCGAACCCTTGATTGTTTTGTGAAGATTTATACACATTTTTTGAAAATGTTAAAAATTAGAAGATGATCAAAATTCACGATTAGAAAGCTTCCATTCGGAAACAATACGAAAATTTCGCGACCTCCCTTAGATTCGGAGATATGCCTCGAAAGCCCAGACAAGAGCTAAGTCGACTTAAATCATTTTACCGCATCGTTACTGAATTTAGCTACTCGTTGGGTTTATGATATATTTTTTAGACAAATTTTTTTTTTATGTAACTTAGAGTTTTGGAACCAAATTCGGATTCTACGATGAGTATATTCTGAACAATATTGGGAAGGACGCATTGAAACGATTTCCAACTTATTCATAGCATTTTTTTACTATCAACATATAAAAATAAAAACTTTTCAGTGTCCTCTAAATCTGGTGGTTTTAGAGATAATTTTGAAATAATGTATGTAAAACTATTGAACTTGACTGGATTTCTCACTACTGTGAGTAAGTTTTATTTGTTGTCTGAAAAGTACTTACTCAATTTTTGTATCCCACTCTCCTGTAGGGGGTTTTTTAGGGACAGGCCGTGTGATTGGAGACCAGCAACAGACGAATTTTTTGTAGCTTTTGGCAACTTTTTGATCAATGACTAGAGCGTATGATCCATTTACATCTTTCTCAATGAAGCTCAGGAGAGGACCATGAGAACATGGCTCAAATTTTTGTTTTTTTATGTATTGAGTTATCGATGGGTCCATAGGGTTTTCCGAAAGCATATGACATTTTGGGTTCCAAACTAAGTATCCATCCACTAATTCTGCAATATTCAAAAATCCAAAGATCATAGATGTGTAATGAAACACATTCAACCAAAGTCAACAATAACTTGATTGAAAGAAGATATAGAAAGGTTCCTGTTTCTATTTAAGCTCATTCTTTTTCAGAATGACAATTTAAACTTTACTACAGATATAATAGTTACAGCGTAACTAATCTCGTTAGTTTCAGAATTATATCGAACACGACTGATGTTGGAAAAAATAATCAGAAAAGCCTCTTTGCCCTCCTTTTTCGTTATTCGATGCTCCCATACGTATTTTGCTCCTGGCAAATGTTCCTTTTATATAAAACGTTGAATAGTAATCTGTCGTTTCAGTTATTCAATAATCACAAACAAAAAAAGAATTTCTCAAATGAAATAACATTTATATGAAAGCAATGTTGTAACTTAACGAGAAAATATTTCTTAATAAACTTCTCTCTATAAAAGATATTTTTATTCAGAAAAGGCACTGTCTCGTATGAATGATTCGTTTGTTGTGCCAAATATTTCGTTGGTGTTGAAAGCACAGCAATTATTCACGTTAGAAATTTTCAAAGGCGAACCAAACAATTATTTTCTTGGTAATTTTCAACTAACGATTTGGTTGGTCCAAACGAGATTTGTTTGAGAACTTGTTTGTTTGTCCTTAGTATACACTGTAAAAAATTTGGTGTCAAAATCACACCGATCGGTGTCCTAATGAGTCCACACCGTTTTTGGTGTGGAGTTGCGGTGTTAAAATAACACTGCACCATAGGACATCGCGTGTAAAATCTGGTGTTACCCGTATAGAAAAAAATATAAGCCAAAACTTATAAGTGAGATATAGTGATTTTGCCGGAATTATATCTTGAATATATCCGCCTTGTATACCAGGTATATGCTAGGTATACCCGGTGGCATATATGTACACACATATATCCAACATATATCTCAAATATTGCATTTTTTGCCGGAAAGTATACCATATATAAGCGGATATAAGTGACATATATTTCTGTATATATATTTTTTCCATGTGGGTAATTCAACACCGAACGGTGTCCCAAGAAGTCCACACCGGATTTTTTACTATGTACTGTATCTTGTTCAAGATTCTGCCAGCCGTTGCTAACCCAAAAATGGTTAATAAGCATTTTCACGGTTTTGCATCACTAGTACAACAATATGTCAGCTAAATAGCTCCATACTAAGAGGCTGGACTCAGGTAACACCGTGAGACTGCTGATTCAATTTCCCAGCCTCGTAAACTTATGTTTGTTGAGAAATTAATAATCAAATGGAATCGGCGTGTGAAATTCCTGAAATCAACTCCTTTTTTTCTAGTTTGCAGCAAATATAAATTTTTGAAAAATAATAAAATACAGTAAAATACAATATGTGCTTGAATGCAATATGCACTGTAATTTAAAGAATCTTGACAATTTGCTTATCCTCCTACAAAGAAAAGAGGCTGAACTTATCAAAATTATCATGATTACGTTCAATGACTTTATTACTATATTCAAAATTCAATTTTTTTTGGCCTTGTATTCATCGAAGTTTTTATGACCAATTTTCGACATTTTTTTCCAAGAATTAGGAAAAATTCTGAATTCTGGATAAATGCATGTTAGAAATGTAACGAACATGTGGGGATGTTCATTAGGAACACCATTGCGATCTGATGAACAACAAACTCCCGCGGCATAATTAGGTGCATCGTGGGCAAAAATTCGGCTGAGAGAGAGAGAACTTTTTGTATTTCCCACTCCGGTGGAGATTTTTGGATTTTTAAGGTTATTCCACTCCGATGGAGATTTTTAGATTTTTGAGGTTTTCTCACTCCGGTGGAGATTTTTGGATTTTTGAGGTTTTCCCACTTCGGTGCGGTGAATTTATTATATACAGCTAGAGGGCTATAGTATTTTCTCGAATAATTGGGAAGAGTTCTGATTAATTTTTTTTTCATACATCTGCACGGAAAGTTCGTACTTTGCTCCCGCTCATCAAGGAGCAAAATACGAACTTTCCTTTGCAGGCGTGTTAAAACAGTATATTGTGCATCAAGGGCGGAAAGTCATGTTTTCCCGCCCGAGGTGCACATGCTATTTTTTAACACGCCTGCAAAGGAAAGTTCGTATTTTGCTCTTTGATGAGCGGGAGAAAAGTGAGTACTTTCCGCCGTAGGGTGGAAAGTTATACCCTCGGGCGGAAAGTCAAGACTTCCGGAAAATTACCCGATGACTCTCAAATATCGGCCCTTCTTCGCGATAATTTTGTGGACTCTTAAAAGCAACAATCGAATGGTTCAATAGTATATTGTGCATCAAGGGCGGAAAGTCATATTTTCCCGCCCGAGGTGCACATGCTATTTTTTCACACACCTGCACGGAAAGTTCATACATTTTGCTCCCTGATGAGCGGGAGGAAAGTGAGTACTTCCCGCCCTCGGGTGGAAAGTTGCTCCTAAGGGCGGAAAGTCTTGACTTTTGGGTAGCATGTGCAAGTCTTGACTTTCCGCCCTTGATCCACAATATACTATTGAACCGTTCGATTGTTGCTTTTAAGGGCCCACAAAATTATCGCGAAGAAGGGCCGATGTTTAAGAGTCATCCGGTAATTTTTATGGGGTTCTACTCTACTGTTAATCTCACGGGAAATCGAGTAGATATAATTGAAATATTAGCGCTCCATATTAAGTCGGATTTTACGGGAATTAATTGGGCACGTTTTGGAATTTCGGTGGAAGGTCGTGTGGAGCAAGTACAGCCCTTGTTTCCAATGCATTGCCAAGCTGTTTCGAGGATTAGGGGAGTTTAGAAAAATTTGATAAATTGAAAAGTTGTAATTTTGGATTTTAGTTTCTTTTAATCCCGTGAATCCCGGAGAACTGATCCGTGGAAGGCGCCAAGAGCCTTGAATGATCGTCTGAACGATCAGCTGTTCGGGAAAAAGTTAGAAAATTGAGAAATGGTCATAGTATGTAATTTCGAGTTATTTCGCTTATGGTATTCAGGTTAGTTTACTTTATTAACAATTTGATTAATTATGGGATTTGGTAGGGTAGCGCATGCAAATCTTCCCCCACTCTGGGTGGTCCCCCCCCCCAGGTTCGCACCTCGATGGGCGAAAAATCCGACCAATCAAATATTTTCACTCAGTCAATCTTGAGATGTGGCGAGTTTAGTTTAGGTGAATTTTTATCCCCGCGCTCACGTGGTGGGTTTCGCCGTGGAAAATGTTCTCCTCTCTCTCGCTCTCACGGCCGTCGTATACCTCGTCCCTCGATTCCTGGAATTCTCCGAGTATTTGAGGATTAACGGGTATTTTCGTGTTTTTCGCTATTGTTCCCAGGGTCCTCACAATACCTGAGGAATTTTGCTATGCTAAGAATAATATGGAATGATATTGAGTCAAATTTTTATAAAATTGAGAGTCGAGTTATTTTCGAAGAAAATAGTACAAATTCACATGTTTTTATTGAAATTAGTATTATCATTATGAATATTGAAAATCCTTCTTTTCTTTCTATTCTTGTTTTGTTTTTTTTTATGAAAATGTAAAATTGTTGATTTTGGAATTCAATAGTGGAACATGTAAGGATAATGTGCGTTTTCGATCATTTTGGTTTTCTGACCTCCCGATGAGCTCGTTTCCACCCGAAATCCACCCCTCTCTCCGCAACCTAGCATACTGAATGACCCGTGGACCGTGATTTTTCCCCAAAAATCTAGTTCTCTTCGTTTTTGGTTTGTCGCTTAGAAATTTTCTGAGTGTTTGGGCTCGAAATTCGTGCACTTCCGGTTTGATAATTCCGATTATTTATTTTATTTTGAGTTAATTTAGATATTGGGAAAGAAAGGCGAAGGTAACAGGCATTTTTAATCCCCAAATAAAAATGTCACGTTACAGAAAATATGAGTTGAGTACTTGTAAAATTTTTTCTCCAAGTAATTTTTCCCCCTATGAAGATCCAATTCGATTTTTAATGAAAATACGATAAACGTAAGAACTATTAAAAAATTAAGTTTAGTGGATTGCGTCCTTCTCATGAAACTCACCATCTTCTAGATTATATAACTTGTGTGGCAGGTACCCATCATACTCTACATAATGTCCAGAAATGAAGTAAAGTGAGAAAATAAGAATACAGGGGAATACCAATGTGACAGCGCCCGCTTTCTTTCGGAGACACTCGGTGGGCCTTGACCACTTCGATCTCATCATACTCTGGAGTTTGCCTCTAGCGAGACTCTCCTTATGTCATGCACCCTCACTGCTCCCTAGATCGTCAATCGCTGGGTCAGATCCTCTCCTTTTTGTTGAGCTCAATAGAGCTTGCGTGAGTTGATTGACCTCTTCTTCCTCCTCTCCTGAAGAATTTCTCTCCTCCAAAAGTCGTACACAGCATTCTTTCTCCGGCTCAATTTCAGCTGTATTGAAATAGTCATCTTGACTCATTATTGAAATGTTATTCCTAATATTCTATTGCAACCACGGAAATGAATCTTTGATGGCAGAGACGTTGCAAGGCGTTTCTTGGTCTCTGAAATGAATTAGAGAAGGTAAAGGAAACTTTCTAAATTGTATTCATTTTCGTCAAAGTAATATCATGCAGTTAGACCTATTGTATTATTTGAGTAATTGAAAACCCACTAGTTCAATTATATGGGGATGTTCCGATTGTACAATTTGGCGCTGATTAACGTGCGCGTAGTCCACTTCCGGGAATGCAATTTCCTTAAAAAATCCTGATTTTTTTGTATTTCTTTGACGCGTTTCTTTGAAACAAATAGAGAGGGGGCCCACTGCTCTATAAAAAAAAGTAGTTCCGACAAATCGCCGTTTTTTTATGTTTAGAAGAATTTTTTAATTGATTTTTATATTTTCCCATTTCAGGTACTTTTCATGACTAAAATTTTTTTCTCGAAAACTGGAGGTGCTAGACAGGTTTTCTAAATTCATTTGAAATGAATGTTAAAAAATCTATAAGATCATGGCATTCTTATCTCTGAGGTCGAATTCATCTGGATTTTGTTGGACTGTGTTATTAGGGTGAGGCCCACAATTAAATATTTTCCGATGAAGCCCACATTAATCATGTAATTGAGGAATTCTCGAAACTACGTGCAATACTAAAATAATATAAGTAAGACTAGGGGGCTACGCCCCCTGCTCGCTTCGTTCGCCAACCAACATATGACCTCCATACGATCCCCATATAGGCCCATACGACCCCCATGATCCTTAAATTAACGATCTAAATTAGGATTAATTTAAACCAAAATATACTTAATTTTCGAAAAAATATTTTCTAAAATCTAGAAATTTTTTTTAATTTTTGAGGGAGAATTTTGCAAAATGGGGGTACTGATATCCGGGGGGGGGGGCTTGTAAAAAGGTGGATTTTGTAAAGAGGTGTGTTTTATGAAAGGGTGGGTTATTGGTGGGGTTTTCCAAAAATATCTTCGAAACTAAGGGAGATAGCGAATTTGTCCTGCAAAAGTGGGGGGGGGGGTTCCTTTTTTTTTTACTTTGTCCGGGTCAGACAATTTCAAAAAATTTAAATATTTCAAAAATTCCAAAAATTTCAAAAATTTCTCATGAATTTTGAAAATTTTGAAAATTTTACGTAAATTGTGAAAATTTTAAAAATTTCCCATGAATTTTGAAAATTTCTACCTTGGACAAATGGGGAAAAAAAATTGAGAACCCACCCCCCTCTCTTCTGTAAAAATTCGTCATCTCCCTTAGTTTCGGACATATTTTTGAAAAACTCGCAGACTCAGTTTTTTTGGTTGCGAATTCTCAATGCATCTAACATCTAGGCATCTAACACTTAAAGCTCCTGAACTGTAAAAATGCCTGATCGTTACAAAATTCGACCCTCAAAATGTATGAGCCTCTAAACATTTGCGTCTATCACAGTCTCAAATATTACCATAATGTGAAGCCGAAAGGAATATAATTTTCTGGTAGATTACTTGTTAATTCATACAGATTCGAAAATCATTGATAGAATGACGATATTTCATTTTTGACAACAACTATTTTTAGTTATTATAATAAATTGCTCTATGCGAAAATGTATTGTATCGATGGGCCCAAAATTTTATACACTACCGTGATTTAATAGCATCAACTATTACCCAAAATTTCATTCTAATTCTATTTCCAACTCCTACGTGTATTGTGGAACGTCAAATCAATTCTGCGCTGAAAAAAATTAGAAAAACGCGAATATCTCGAAAACTTTGTTTGAACGGGTATCCATATTTTGATTGATTTCGATAGAGGACATCGAGACGAGTATTTTGAAAAAAAAATTCAATCCGATCAGTAGTTTAGAATATATTGAGCAAAACATATTTTGACAAAAAGTTGAGTATTTCCTAAACTACTCGTGCGATTTCATTTTTTCACAATACCAGCCTGTACCATAAGAGTTACAATCTTACCAAATTACAGCTTTCTATCCCAATTTTTTCGAGAGTGATAGTGTCTACACTGATTTTATCACAAAAATGAAAAATGCCGATTGTTCCTAAGTTATCTGCGGTTAAGTAGAAATATTATATCTGGACTTGATAGACATTATTATAAGGAATTTCCGTCATTAGGCCCGATAACTCGCGATTTTCGCGGTTTTCGGGCCCAGTAACAAGCAATATTATTCTATACACGGCCATGAGGAACTTTCCTACCTCATATGATTACAGAACCTCATACTCGCCAGAAAAGTTCCTCATCGCCTAGTGTCGAAATGTACTAATTTTTACGTGAAAAAAATTCAATGCAGTCGTGTATTTTTTGGGATATTGAGCACAAAATATTTTCGAGAAATTGCTGTACCTCAAAAATTACTTGATCGATTGAGCTGAAATTTCGCCCAGATATGCTCCCAAATAATGCTAATTATTTCACAAAATTGCCGATTTTTAGCATCGATTTTTTTCCTTTTTCGTGAAGATTTATAAAAAAATTCAGAAAAATCCGCATCCACACACACACTGACATACACACACATATTTTCTAAAACTATCATATCTTGACGTTTCTACATCATTTCCGAGCAAAATTAGAAGATTGTAAAAATGCACGATTACAAAGTTTTAACTCGGAAGCAAAATGTGTATCTGGACATGCTAAACATCTTTTGTCTAAGACTTTTTTCCTTTTTTGTAACTGTTTCCGTGATGTGATCGTTTGACCAATTAAATTGTTGATCACAAATAGAAAGCCGGATTTTTTTCAAAAAAAGACTCACAAATTCAGAATCAGCGACTCAAAAAATATATAATTCATACATCAAAACTAGGGGACTGTTATATTGACACAGGATCGGGTACAGCGTGCAGCCTATTAGTTGGCCTGAAATCCGCAAAGTCGTAAATAAATACTTTTTCCACGTGATCATTACGATTACTACCACTATCCTTGTAAGAAACATGGGATATGTTGGGTGAGTGGAATTGCGCGCGATGTTTATAAACGAATGTGCATACCGAATAAATAAATAAATTTCCGTTGAATCATAAGGAATATAATTTGTCGAGCAATTGGTAGAAATTGTTTTTATGCTAAATCTAATGATTTACGTAAAAAAAGACGATTTCGTGGAAAAAGTGCCTAACAATTGTTAATCTCAATGTATTTCCATTACTTTAGAAAAAAAATACCGACGATTCGAATTCCTCAATCCCAAATTATAAAATTCCATTCTAGTGTATGGACTAAAAACCTTTGCTTTTCTCAATATATATAGCTACCCTCGAACTGCACCACATATTCATCTGCAAAATGTTGCATTTCTCGTTAGCAAACTTCCAATTGCATGGCTCAAACTCGAATGACAGAGTAATCCTCAATGTTTACCGATCTATTTCCTCGCAAGTATTCGAGGCACAAACACTGGTATTCCTTTTCTTGTCCCCAAGGAAAATCCTACCGTTTCAGTACTTATTCTATTTATCTTTATGCAACACATCGGTCGTGTAAATTATTTCACATAGAAACCAGAACGGAAATTATAATAGAATGATTGAGGGAAGAATTAGGCACCGACCGTTCCACGTCGAAGTACCACTGTCAACTGATGCGCTCGTGGGTTCCATTGTATTATGACCCCTTTGCGGACCAGTAAGCGGAATAGGACAGTCTACACGGAAAAAAAAATATTCTCGAATCGGGTATATAATATTCCGGAATCCGGGATATTTTATTCTCGTTTCCGGAGACATCCCCAGAGGTTTGCCGACTGTTCAAAGGGTAAAGGGAGTATCGTGAGATAATTTCCAATAACAAACTTTTGGTTGATCGTAGTATTTGGGGTGCAAACATTTTTTTTCCGTTTGAAAATAAGAAAAATTGAGTTTTTCATCCTCTCAATACACTGTTGAAAAATTTTTACTAAATTTTTCGAATTTTAGTCTTGAAATATCAAACAAATGACAGTTTCATTGAAATTTCAGAAAATTGTCATTGAAAATTAAGGATTTTCATGGAAAAATCCATGGAAATTGTAAAATCCTATTGAATTATTCCACACAGAGAAAAAGGAATTACCCAGGTAGGAATTAACAATGGCTCAAGCTTGGTCCAAGGGCGGCCCAACCTTGGCCATGGGCCAACACAGGCGTCCAAGGCTGGCCCAAGGTTGGTTGAGCACCGAAATGATAACGCTGGGCCATTCTTGGCCACCAAGACTGGGCCTGACTCGGTCACCAGTCGTTAGCCGTGACTAATGTTACGATCCTAACATCACTAGTCCTACGCCTTAACCACTAGTCTACCGCGCAATTCTTATTACTGTTGACTCAAATCGTCCATATATGAATTCTATCTTGATTTAATTCTTTGCTGAATGAGTTTTTAAATATAATCGGAATTAATGTCGATTTCATTATTTATTAATCACCTGGTTATTCGAGGGGTGTGAAAAAATACCTTCCCTCTCCCCCCGCCCGAGTATTTTTGATGAACCCAGATTTTCAATTTTTGATTACACTTGAAGATTCAATCTTTGTTATTATTATTATTATTATTATTATTATTATTATTATTATTATTATTATTCTGTCCTTTCCCCCTTCCTTTAACCCTGAGAGTTTTTACAAATACGCCTCCCTCCCCCTCTTCTCAACAGCTGGTTCAAGCTTGACTCAACCCTGACTCATAGGACGTTGGTGGACAAGCGTGGACCATAATTCAGCCGGTGGCTGAGCCAGTCGCCAGCCAGTGGTAGAGCTTGAACCTTGGCTACCACAGTCGGACCAATGTTGGATGAAGGCTGTGCTACCCGATGCTTGGCCGAAGACGGGCTAATCGAGCTTGGACCAGAAATGGTCGCCAATGAACGTCTGTCGATTCTGGCTACTCATTGGCCACCAAGCTTGGGCCAAGGTTGGTAGCCCCTCGTTGACCAAGCGTCGGCGGGCAGTCTTCGTCCATGATTGGTCCGACCCTGATAACGAAGGCTCAAGATGCGCCATTGGCTGAACACTGACTTACTCATTGGCTAAATTATGGCTCACGCTTGTCTACCAACACCCGGCAAGTCGAGGTTGCACCAAGCTTGGGACGGTTGTTGAAGCTCGGCGAGTCCTGCCTGGGTAACTGACTGACAGAGGAAACAAAATACGATAAGATAAAATAGGATAAGTATTTTTAAATGTTGGAATTTAGCCAGAACAATACTCAGAGTAATATTAAAATTAGACGCTGAAAACAATTCTCTAATATATATCACTGAATAATTGTACAATTGTATAAAGATAATCTTGTATCATTGGCGGATATATAGAATGGAGTAGCTAGAATGCTGACGTCATACTTAGCTACCGACGTCATCAGAATAGAACCACTAGGGGGTGGGGTTGCCCTTATCAAGAATTTTTATTGAACTAATCGTGTCAATTACTTTCGAATGTGTTTTTTCATCATGGCAAATTAACAACAAGTAAAACTCTAAAAAAAAATTTTTTTTTAATAGGAATATATCTGAAAAATCCATAGAAATTTAATTTCTGTCTAGATAAGGAGTACTGAGATTTTTTTCCTGAAAAATTGATTCAGTTCGCGTTAATATAACGGTGTCAAGTGCAATAGAAAATTCATCGCAGTGTTTATAATATTCGTATTAAGCATAAATGACAATTTCAATGTTTTTCTCTCATGCAATACATGAAATTTTGTAAATAATTTTGTTCTCACGATTACTACAATACCACGTACATTGTAAATATCCACAACTCTTCAACAGCGGGAGCGGGATAGACGCAGTAGAAAGACTGGTGTTCATATGATACAAACTGAGAAAGGAACATAAAACACGAATTTATTTTAGAATTTTCTTTATCCTCATGATATAATCCATGTTCACTGTGAAATTACGCGGGATTTTATCATAACAAAATAGTGTAAGAGACAGTGTTTTGAGAAGGAATAGGACCCGATGATTCGAGCCATGTCAGACATTTACTGGGTTATGTGTCGTACGTTTGCTCGTCGCCCGGGTATCGACGGAACCACCACCGGGAGTCGTGCTCAGACGCAGACGCGAAAATTCTGGCAATCGCCCTACCAATTAAAAATGAAACTCTTGGTTGTTTTCAAATATAGAAAAAATCTTTTATTTTCAAGTCTTGATTGAGAAAATACAGTCTTTGCACCTTTGAAAATTTGATAAAATCTAAGTGGACAAATATCTTACTTTCTAAATTTCAATGTAGGAAAAGAATTAAAAAATGTTTTTACAATAAATTTCTAATGTCGCTGCAAATAATGAAATTGTTTAAGTCGTTACAGTACATCTATATAATTATGGAATGATTAAGAAACGTTTGAACAAAAAATTTTCCTCACGTTCGAAAAAGATCTGTTGAAAATTTCACCTAAAACATTTTTTAAGAAATACATACATCGACTTCACATTTAATCAAAACAAGTACACATATTTCAGTACTTCGATATTCGATACTCTACATGATTATTTGCCACTATAAACTATTATATTGCAATAGCCACTATATTTCTACAAATAGTGTACTATGAGTAATTTCATTATAATTACTGTGATTTACATTTAGCTACCTGGGAATGATTTAGTCATTTTAATACTTAAGTAAATATTTATGATGCAATAATCTCAGTTGAATGATTGATTCTGTCGATCTTTGGTTTATTCAACTACGGGACACTCTGAAAAAAAAAAATATTGTAAAAAATAATAACGTAATAGTTGTTTCATATCTTCTAGTTTGAAGTCAGGAGTTCCGCTGGATGTGGAACTTCCTGATGATGCTTTACGCCTCCTCAAAATTGATAAACCCGAGGTCAGTCAGCACTGTTATCGTTATAAGCATTGAAAACTTTTCCGCACAGGGAAAGAATATTCAAATTGAAAAGAATATATTTTTTTAATATTCATCATAGAGGGGGTTCAAATTGAGCATTTATCATGTATTTCCTCACGTACGGGGTTGATATATGGTATCGGCCCATGCAAATGTGAACGCTTGTTTTCAATATTGATTGTTCCCCAATCTATCTGTCCCAATAATCTGAAGAATAACTTAATCAGACAAACAAAATTGGAAACCGGAATACTAGAGCTTCAATTAGATGCTGGTTACATAATTTTCCATCCATTAGAAGCAATGGAATCCGAGTCGTATTGAGCACACACTACTACACATTGGTTACAGAAGGGCTCCGTCCGTGAGACGTGTAAATATGCTCACCCATTTTCTAAAAATTTAAATTTTTCATACGCGAGGAAATCTCAGTCGTTTTTTCAGACTACTGGAGGAATATGTGAAACTAACATTTCTGATAATTGAGAAGAATTAGTCGCAGGAGCTATGCCGAAATGAGATAAACAAATTTTTCGGGCTCTCATGAAAATAATTTTTAAATATATAATTGACCGTCGATGGAACACTTGTGTGATGGGAGTTTCCAAAAATACACACAGACATTTGAAATTTTAGGGGATTTATTTTGAAAAACAACCGAAAGTGGCAGTACACTGCATTTTTCAAATAATAACTATTACTGAGTAAAAGAAATTGTCAATTTCCTATTTCACCCGTCAGTAGGCGCGCTATGAGCATTTCCCTCACGCAACGCTAGGCAACCTATACGACGGCTTTGCAGTGCGAGTGAGATAATAAAAAGAGAGCGCCTACACGTAGAGGAATTTTCGATAAAAAAAATTGCAGGCGGCTGTATCTTCGATACAACTGTAATTGTACGTGGATACGTCCACGGTCTTTCCTTCTTTCTCGAATTTCCTAGAAACTCCTTGCATTCCCTCAAATTTTCTGGAAACTCCTTGAACTCTCTCGAATTTTCTAGAAACTCCTTGAATTCCCTCTAATTTTCTAGAAACTCGTTGAATTTCCTCGAAATCTCTAGAAATTCCTTGAATTTTTACGAAATTTCAGGAAACTTCTCGAAATACCTCTGCCTAAAATTTTCTAGAATCCCGATAGATGGCGTTGCAAGTAAGGACCGTTTCCCAAAATGACCCCCCACATTGAAACCATAGACGTGTACACGTCAATATCTAGACTGACCTTACCACTGCATCAGATATTTACACTTTTTATTTTATACGCTGTTAACAGTTTGATTGCCAATTTACGACTGACGGCGGAGCGTGCCGATCCGCCTTTTATAGGGAATTTTGAATCTAGAAATTTTTGGACTGGAAATTTCTATGACTAATAACTTGTCGGTATGTTACCGATCGATCGACAGTTGGTCATGTATCGACAATCAGCATCGCTGATAGATGGCGCGGCTGAATGAGCATTTTTTTACCGAATGACCCCCCAAAAGAAACCCATATACCCAGATAATCAACCGTGCGTTACAGCTAATAGGCACTAAATGCTGCTTAAGTGCCTCTCGGTTGTGCCGACTCCGTAACCACCGAGTTACCACTGTGGCAAATTCATCGTCTAGTTCAGCTCCGAACCCGGAGACTGACCTTACCGACAGAGCCACATCCAAGCAGGAAATTACCAAACCAGCTGAACGACCCAAAGCGAAGCCTAGGGAGAGAAAACAAAGCTCGTCCCATGTGATTTTTCTGACTAACTATAGCTGTAGCGTTTTTATATTGATTCATTTAAAGTTATTTAATGTTGTTATTTTATTTGGTATTAATTTCCCTAACAATAAATATTGTTACCATTAATTAATCCACTCGATAATTATTTATGTGAGAGACCTCAATAACTCTCAACAGCACTACTGACTATTGGGACCGCTATTTACCGATGGTGGCGTGGTGATCGCCCTCATAACATGGACGACCGATGGTTTACCCATTCAAACTTGTTCAAACCCTCACATTGTAGCTGACAATAGTAGTTCCTCTTCGACTTATTCATTTCTGTATTGTTTTTTATTGTTGTACTCGAAGTTCAAACTCATGTAGAAGTTTCAACTGCGAAATTTCGTAGCGGTGGCGCATGAACTAATCCCGAGTACATATATGTGAGTAAAACAGGGAGCGTATGAGAGCGTCGATAACGGCGTAGAGTGGGTGAAAGCACGTATGTGGGGGGAATCGGAGGGCTGGGCAAGCCGTGATGAGTATCCCAACGACGTTAAGGGAAACCTTCTGGTTTTAAACGCTGACTGACCCCGGAACTATACCCTCAATATGAAAATCAATTTTTCCTTCCCTAATTGAGATTGAGAGAAGGCCAATCGGGGGAGTCCCACCGGGCTCACTCGATGCCGGAGAACCGGTCGGGGTTTCCCCGCGCTTTGAAAATTCATTCCTCCGCTCCTTATTGAAATTAAGGTGTGACGATACGGGTCAACTCGTAATTTATTTATTTTTTGTAAAATTTGTTTATTTTTACTTTTATATGCAAATCAAGACCTTCTTCTAAGGCAAAATTGATAAAAATTAGCCTCTAGGAGACCTCTCGTCCATGAGAATCGGGAAAGGAAATACTCCATATCTTTCCCAATTCTAATACCATTTGTCATCTCCAACGGTCATAACTCCCCGACAACGAGTTGAGTCGAGAAGAGGAGGTCCTGAGAAAAATCTCTTGGGACCAAACAACATCCAGACCACCCCGTTCAAGCTATCAGGAATGAGGATTAGACGATGGCGTCGCTCTACGAGGCATGTGCTTTTCTAATGGGAGCAGAAGGTGTCGTCAACCGAGGATCCATTGTCATCAACCACCGAGTGACAACGCTCCAGGGTACCCTGACGTAATGAAACTCCAGTCCATCTGACAAATAAAACCTGCAGGAAGTCAGCGAGAGATATCCGAGCGACGATAAAATTGTCTACTCATGAACAATCCATAAAATTTCATTTAGGAATAATTGTAAAATACTTTAAATATCGATTAATATTCATTTACGATTTTTAATAAATAATTTTCACGTAAATTAATTGTGTATAACATTTTAGAGTCAAACACTTCTGTTAGAACTTCGATATCTAATTAAATTCCGTGTCTTATGAATTTGGGGGGAGGTCCTTCCCCCAAAATAAGATCAAGCAGCCATATTGGTTGAACCGGCCCAAGCTTAAAGAGAGTCATCTTCTAGCCAGCGCGACATGTAGTCGCAAAATGGTACTGTCCGCCAGATTGACATTTATTTCGTTTATTTTGAGTTAAATTTAGTATTTTGGATTATGGAGGTTGCTCTCTATCCTGGGGCAGGTGATTTTGTAAAACTTTGTCTTGGCTACTCTTGAGAGAGCGTCCAAGATGGCGTCTTTTCTCATTTTTCATTATATTTTCTTAAGTTGAGGCATTTGTGACCAACTCCTCTTATATTTTTTCGATTTTTGATGATTACTTTTGGGAAATTTGAGTACAATATTGAAGTTCATTAGTTCTGATAAATTTTTGTGTGAAATTTAAATGTGATAAATTGAATTCATTGTATTTCGAGGTCACGTATTGACCCTCAATTGAATATTGATCCATGTTATGGATATTTTGTCATAATTTTGAGAACAATGAGGAATTATAACCCTCATTCAACTTTCCTGTAAATTTCATAATTTTTCTTTGTGTGAAATTATATTTGATTATTCTTGTTAAATTGTGTGTTCTCATTGTGTGAGTGTGGAAGGTAAAAGTTGCAGGCTGGGAGTATCGTCTTCCCTCCCCCTCGTAACAAATAGAGTCTACTCTGATACCTGAGCTACCAGCCATTGTAATTTTGTTAAAATTGTTGAAATATCTAAATTGAGAGGAGTCGATGCACTCTCGAAAAATAATCCATCGACTGGCGTCCAACATATTTAAACTTTCAATTAAAAATAATTCTATTCTTCATTTTAAATTTCGCCCCGAACGGCACAAAGGAATGAAACCGCTGTCATTTATTGAAAATATAATTCTCGATCGAGAAGCGTTGGTTTCATTCCTTCATCTCAATTAGGGAGGGGAGAAATGAATTTTTGAATCAGAAGAACTTGTGCGGAGTTACTCTGCGCTTTGAAAGATTTTCAACAGAAATCATATTGACATTAAGCATAAATTACGTTTTGCAAAACGTAATTTACATTCTGCTTTTTATAGGTGTCCACAACTTTTCTACTTCGTTTCGATATCTAAATACATTCTCCTCATTGTCAGTACGTATAACTTGAGAATTCAATTAATATACTCACTGCAGACTGAGCAATTAAGTTCGTCAGATCCATCACCGCAGCCGTCCCGCCCACTGCAGGTAATTGCATCTGAGCGACAACGTCCATTCGCACATCGAAAAGGACAATTCCTCGAGGATAGTCGACTTCGATTACGTGTGCGACACGCAGTCCGGGGCTCATCACTTCCGTCCCTACAGGAGACAACTGCATTGCAGAACTCGTATGCGGGAAGGCATTGGCCGTTATTGCACCGGAATGACCCTTCTGGACATTCTGCAATGAATGTATTTAATTTCTTTCTATATTATTTCGAGTTGAAAACAGTAGTGGATTGGTAAAAAGTGTAAAAGAGATCAATCATTCAACTGTTTTTGGATCATTTTAACAATTGCAAGCATTACGCTCATCGTAGAATCTCCTCAACAAGTCGATTTCGCTCTTAAAGCAATTTTCGGATAATATCCCTGAATCTGAGAGACATGACAATACTTTTATTGGTGTTTTTTTTTAAATTCAAGTCAGCTGCATTGGAATTTTCACAATTGTGAATTTGAATTCAGTTCCATGTGAAATCGTTCACCGAACTTTTTATCCATCTCGGAAATTCAATATTCCAATGACAGCTTGAGATCGCAAACCCATCGTGGAAATTGGGTATACTGCGATGATGATCAAGACTTTAAATGGTTAGATCGCACCATTCTACCCGGCCGGGATTTGAACTCGGAACCTTTCGCATGTGAGGCAATAAACTTACTCACTGCGCCAAGTCACCGGGGTGAAACGAATTTAGATGGAAGTGTTACATTTACTCATATGCAATTCAACTCTGTCTAAAACATGAAATTGAAGGATCAACAGAATTCCTGTAATATACGAATGAGATTGACTTATATGTACAAGATTCTTATCTGTAACTGTGTAAGCGGGTTCCCCAACTTATTACTTACTATAAACAATCTACAACATAATATTCATTCCAATACATTCGACACATAATCTCCATAGAGAAATTCTCCTCCGAAAATGGCTTTCCGCCAATATATTCTATTTTAAATGTTATTTGTCCATTACATTATAACTTTTGAAAGTTTGAAGCTTCGAATTTTGTAAAATGTTAAATCTTTTCAGATTTGATTGCCCTCACCATGTACAATCGTCAAAATAAGTTCCGCCAGTCCGTGAAGTTAGCTACTGGTTGGAGTATGGGACTGAAACGAAGGAGCGGTTCGTAGCTAACTTCGCGGACTGGCGGAACTTATTTTGACGATTGTATAGCAACACTCTCTGAAAATATTATCTGTCTCCCGGCGCGACGACAAAACAGCCGGCCGCCAGCTCGTTCTGACCTTCATATTTTGCCAATTTCGATCAGATCATAACGAAAGTGCAATCAAAAAATAGAATAATAATGTAGAATTGTCGCTTGACTTCGTTTCCCGGGATTTATTCATTCTTTTGTGTGTGGAATAAATAACAACGGGTGCAGGTATTCATCCACTAGTATCCGCCATGTCTAGATGATTGAAAATCCGGGGGCCAATCCCACGGATTTTCAATGACCCCCTTTACCCACGTAAAGGGGGTGCTGGAACCTCCATCCGGGCCTTAAACTTACTTAAAGTACTTCAAGTTTGCCTGAAACTTGTTCAAGTGAGTCTCAAAAGTTGATGTTTTCCGAACAATAGGTGGTTATTCCTATTATTAGCAAATTGTCGAAGGATAAATTTTTCATGGAATTTCGTCGCAGATATTTCATATAGAAAGTGATAAGTCGGGCCCCTGTAAAAGTGTGCCAAATAATCACGAAGCATTATATTCTCATGCCTAAATCAGAAGGAAACATTGTTTTTCTGAATCACATAACTGAGAATTTTAATAATCATTCCATCTTACTTCGGCGATCTTTGCATCCTTCTTCATCCTCTCTATTAGGACAATCCAATCTCCCATCACATTGAACAGCCCTAGAGACGCACACTCCACTCTTCCCACACTTAAACGCCTGACTAGGACAACTTCCATTAGCGCACTCCTCATCAGACCCATCTCTACAGTCTGGTCTGCCATCACAAACGAAGAACCAACTGATGCACGCTCCCGATCCACGACACTGGAATGTACCATTTGGACAGCCCGTTTTCTTAGCATTACAGGCTAAACTACCATTTCCATGGGGAATGACGCAGTCACATATTCCGTAAATGCATCGTGAATTTGCATCGGCCATTCTACACTCGAGATCGTTGCTACATGATAATCCGAGGCTCACTGGTGTTACGGTGGTTGTCTCGTGGCGATCTGCCTTGGTTGGTGCTAAAAACAAAAGGACGAACATTGAGTATAAGGTGAAGAAAATAATAAGGGGAAACAATGGAGGATTTACCTGAAGCTAACATTGTTGTTTGAATCAGCTCGGTGATGACGTCAGCCTCGATTACCACTGCATCGTTGTCATCTGGGAGTTCATTCGTATTTTCGTGGTAGGGGCTAGGTGTTCTGTACATTGGTCTTGTTACCATATTGAGCGGAATTTTTGGAGTCGTTACTGTGGTTGATAATAATCTTGTTGCATTTTTCAGCCAGGAAAGGTGAAACCCTGAAGATAATCGTTATTTTTTAAATAATATTTCTGAAGAAGGCAATAGTCGTTGTTAGTCAAATGCTTTTTCTTTATTTGTTTATTGAAGAAGGTCTTAAGAATTTTTAATTTTTTCTCCTGGAAATACGTTTCTCACATTTTTGTTGGATACCTATTCTTCTACGTAAACAGAATTCTTCTATAGTTCCCAATAATTTCCATTTTTTTGAGGCCAAGTGTCCTTAGTCGTCATAAATCATTGAAAGCGTATAATACCGATATTGGACAAAGCGACATTATTGCATAAGACTAGACGGTTTAAATAAAAATAAGAGAACAAAGAGACATTATCATAAAAAGGAAAGAATGATTGGGATTAAAATATAGCATATTCCACCTATTATCGACCTGTTATCCAGCGTGTTATTTTCAATTTATCCGAAAATTTTACCCCCTATCTCGTCCGGTGTCTGAACCATCTATGTTCAAGTTTTTTTTTGAACAATTTGTCGAACTTTCATGAGTATTGGGTGGTTTTTACGTGGAAAATACACACAACCTATTTTAAAGAAAAATGTGAAAAATTTCGTCATGTTTTGTCATGTATAGAAAGCATTCAGAATAAAAATTTTCAAAAAATTGAAACAGGATGCAAAATTTAAAAAATTGAAATGAAAATTTCATTATCCATGTTCTAATACTCAGCACAATATCGAAATTTTAATGACTTCGTACCAACAACCTATATATTCGAAAAAAAATCGAGTGGTAAAAGGCAAAAAACGAACGAAAGTCGACAAACAAATAATTTTTTATAGTTATAAAACGGTGTCAGAGCATTCGTGTATTTTTTTCAAAACTTTGAACATGTTTCTTGAAAAATAGTTTTATATAGTTTCCGTGTAATACTTACTTACAATACTCCTGAAAAATTTACAAAAAATGACCGGCAGGGGTCGGTAGAATTGGGTATAACCCATTATTAGTCGAACCAATTGGGATCTCTTGCAAATGCACACGCGCTCTAGCGGTTCAATCGACTACTAGTTCGGGCAGGTCGCAGAGCTGTCAGCTAGCCGATTGGACAGAACTGTTCTCGCAAGAATAAACATCATTTCGCTCAATGTTTTTAATTTATTGTAACTAAATCCAACATTTAATTCAAAAGTTAGATTTTATCATTTTCCTCGCCAAAACGTGGATTTAGTTACAATAATTAATAAGTTTGGTGAAGAAGAAATTATTGACAGACGTACGGCTTGGATTAAAATATTGAGGATGGGCAAAAAAGTGTCGAATTCCATGAGATTTCTTTACGTTTCACTGAAAAGGATTTCTTTTTGCCATGTAAGTAAAAAAGCGATTTCCAATATTAGCTTGGAAATTTATGAATTGAAAAAAATATGACGAAATACATTACTGATTTCTTGAATTACAGCCACAGCTCAACACGACAATTCAGTCATTACTCACCTGAAGGGAACAAGTGTTCCTTCACTCTATCTGCCTCCTCAATGACCCACAAATAATCGGAATTGTGGAGAAATTTTTGTAAATCTTCTCCACCACGAAAACTCTTAGCTCTCGGATGTGTATCAGCAAATTTACAAATCTCATGAATAGAAACTCATTTTATCACAGTCAATTTAATAACAGTAATATATAAAAATGAGGGCTAGCGTGTAACTCCGTGTGCATCTGGCCGTTCGACCTGCCGTGCTAGTTCTCTATTTCGCCACAAGTCGGCTTTATATTAAGCCACTTCTCCGTCAGAGATCCTAATAACTTCCCGAACAATTCCCTTTTTTCTGTTGATTCGAAAAAAAGGCAAATTTTGAAAACTTCGTCTAAATAACTGAACAATTGCTGAGATGATTCCGCTTAGCATGCAATTAGAATGGACTTATGTGAAGACACATTGATTACACAATTAATTCATGTCCCATCGTTATTTCGAGTAAAATCGTCGGATTTCAATGAAATTGTCGCTTTTTAGCGTTTTTTACTAGTTTTATGCGAATAACCGTACAACTGCTGAGGCGATCATCTTCACAAATTAATCAGTTCTAAGTTGCATGCAGATATCGATAGAATAAAAAATTATTCGAAGCGCTTCATTTGTTTAAAAATTTTGACGATATACATACACACACAAACATCTCTTCAAAAACGTATCAGGAAGATTCTACGGGTCATAAATCGTCGACAAATCATCGAAATTCAACATTTGATTTTCGGTGTAATTAGAATAACTTCCTGTGGGTCGGGAAGTTGAAAAATTTTTAAATAGAAACCTGAATTGGGGTGTTTTTCATACAACGGACGAGATAGAGGCCTAAAAATTTAGGACAAGGCTTCTTTTAAGGTTCCTAAAAAGCAGTAAAATTTTCAGACAAATCCAAAATTATACAGTGAACCACTGGTTGATAATTGATGGAATATGCATCTATCCGTCCATAGGGGCGTGATAAACCCATTATAAAAGACATGGTTTGCCACCGTCGTTGAACCATTTTTAGGTCGAGAATTTCAAATTGACTGAGTCTATCGAAAATATTACGAGCTTTGAATTTCATGGAAAGTAGTTATTGATGAGTCATTCAACACGAACCCCTTTTCGTTGATGATGAATAGAAATCCCTTGGCGTGAGTGTAATACTGTGAATATGAGAGGGCTATGGAAAACTCGAGAGCGCTGAATGTAATCAGTACTGTCGGGTGAAAAAGTACTATAGACCCCTGGTGCTACAGTATTTTTCAAACTAACAACATTTCACAACACCGGTATCAATTTTTTTTCATCACAAATATATTGCAGACACACCAAATGATTATATGAATGACAAAGTGATTGCTTTGTATTATTATTCAACACAAGAAAATCCTCCAAAGCGCTCGCCCCGGGGTCTACAATCTTTAATTTGATAATAAATGAATGGATGACTAGACGAAATAGTTATTTTCATCACAAGGTCCACAAAGTATTTTCTGACGAATGTGATTATAGGCCTCGCCTTCGGCTCGGCCTACAAAGCCACATTCGTCAGAAAATACTTTTGGACCGTCTAATGAATGCAGTTTTCCGTCAGAAGGCCCGTAAACCGCGATCAAACCGAGCGAAGCGAGGTTAGAATTGCGGTTTACCGGGTCTTCTCACGAAAAAATATGTTCGGGGAGGGACTTGTTGACATGAATCGAAGGCACGTGGAACATTGGTGTATAAGAACTGGCTGTATTAGCTAGTTGTTATGAAAATGTGAACAATGAATAATTACAAAGAAACACTAATCAATATTTATCTATTCAAAGACAGTGATAGTGATGATAACGATAAGTTTGAATTTGAGATTAACTAAAAAAGTCTTCTTCGAAATTAAATTTAGATACTTCCATTTTGTCGAAGTTTCTTCAATGTTTTGGCACATTATCTGATTGGATCAATTTCGATTACGGAAAACCGTTAAATATGTATGGAATTTTAGGCGTCACTCTGATGATAATCCGAGTTATAATCACTATTAGAATGGAATTTTTATCAGATCACAGTTTTTTCTGCGAGGAATAACGTTCAAACTTATTTCTTTTCAATAGATTTTTCAAATTGTACATTGCACTCAGTTTTTGAAACTGACACTTTTCCGCAAACGCTAGACATTTTAGAAAGATTTCTCCAATGATTTTGAAATTCGCGTGAAAATATACAGGATGTCCCAAAATGAAATGTCATCCTCGTAAGAGTAGAGCGGGCGACTCATTTGGAGAAGAAAACTAATAACATTTTTCTCTCCGATGCTTTATTTTAAAGTTATTGATTAAAAAAGCGAAGATCAGCAGCAAAACACCTTCCCGTGAAAAATCCTTATCTTCTCTGTCACTTGAGATGTAGGAATAAAAATAATGGCAATCGATTGAGAATTCAATACGCCATAGATCATTATGAATTTTGTTCCTTTATTGCCAAAACGGGGTGAGAAAAATTGCGACAAAATTGAGTGTGACGTAAGAGCCATTTAGGTTTAACACGCAATGTGAGCCTGAAAATGAAAGGCCACGTAAAAAATCCATATCTTCTCTCTTATTCGATAACGAGGGATGAGATTCATTGGAATCGATAGGACATCCAATGCCTTCGCCTGACCGCATTGAATGGAGAAGACGATATGATTTTTTCAACGGGGAAAAACATTTGACTAATGATAATTTTTTATTTGTTAACACTTAAACAAATCGTCGGAGAGAAAAATGTTATTTAGAGTTGTCGTTTCTAAATGGGTCCCCCCGAACTACCCTCACAAGGACGACATTTCATTTTGGGATACCGTGTATATATGATGGTATTAGTTTCCGAAGGCAAAATCATCCACATTCTATTCAACCGTGTTATCTAGGAAATATTTGAATTATTTTTTCAAAATTGAATTGCACTAAAAACCTATTGATGGCTGTGCACTACGGTGAGTTAAAAGTGAATTATTCAGTAGAATAATCGTCTCACAGTAAGATGGTAAGTGCTTAGTCAACCAAAAAAAAAATTGTATTATTTGTCAGAAAAAAAATTGAATTGGTTCTCAGAAGAAAAAATTGTATTGTTTATCAGAAAACAAAAAAATTAAAAATGCCGACTAAACATTTCAATGCGAGTATATATATATTTTTTCGTCATTCACACTGCTATTTTTATTTCAGTTGGATTTTTATTGAATTTACATAGTTCTCTCATAACTAATTTTTTAAGCCATCGTCAACCATGGATTCCCATTCAGAAAACATCTGTAATTTTTTTTTTCATATTCTACAAGGGTATTTACATATATTTGTTAAGGAACTAATATATAATATTGTCAAATTATTGCACGGGCAGGGAGTGAAATTTTCAGTACGATGAATTTCACAATGCTAATAATCTGTTTTACTACGTGAGTGACTACTACCGCCACCATTGGAACCAATGTGAACTACACGCTGCGTAATATGATTTTAGAGGTCCCACCAGCCGCTGTTTGCCCTCCTTCCCTCTATTCTATTCTATTCCATGACACTATACAACATAAGATACTGTTGGCAATTCCTGGATGCAAAAAATGAGAATTCGAGTTGCGCTGCCAACTCAATGGCTGTGTGAGTGTGACCGTTCTCGTTAGAAGATAATGAGAACGCGAAAAATGTGCATCATAGCTCGTTGCTATGTGCATATCTTTGTAAATATTGAATGAATTGAATTGATAACTGCATCAGTGGAAAGCGGATTGGTGATGTATGTAGTGTAACTAAGGACACTTTTTGGCTAAGTGACCGCATTTTTTATTAGTTTACGGAAAATCAGTTAAGGGTAGTGGAAGGGGAAGTTGTGTATAGATACTTGGTAGCTCTCGTCGTTTTTGTGAGGTTGTCAGGCGGAACTTGGCCGATACGCTACCGCGTATCTCGATGTTTTATCACGGATAGTTACCTGAATGCGTTGTATCCTCAATCAATTCTTCATTATTGTCCTCTTCAGGAGAAGTTTGAACCGTTGGAGAACGCGTAGTTGGCGATGGGGGGATTACAAGTGAATTAGGTCGGCAGACATCCCCATCCCTTTTCATCGGCGCTGTGCACTGACACCGACCGAATAAATCTGGTATTAAAAAGTCACAGTGGGTGTCACTATCCCAAAGGCGACAGTGCTCATGACTGTAGCACACTTGACCCGGTCGAGCAGCTGAATAAAAAATTAATGCAATGAATCAATACAGTGACAGATGCATAATGACGTGGACAGAATTAAATAGTGAACATTACCATGGCCATATGAGAGATTATTATAGTAACATAGTACGATGGTTTTCAACTGTCCCTACATAGTAATCTTTACTCATACACATTAGATGATTTGATAAGTTTCCAGATCATCGAGAAAAACAGTTTTTTTCAAAATTTTCACGATTATTGAAGTAGCATCAATTCTATAATTTCAGGTAGTTTTTTGTCAAAAATTAAGTCAAGTGGAAACTTAAATAAGACTCAATTCAGTGATTCATCACTGATCCACCCTATCTAATCTACGATCCGTGTCAAATCAAAAATGAAACGCCTGTCTTAATCCAGGGCACTTTTTCGAAATCCAACACAACCTGATCCAGAAAAGGTGGAAAGGTTGAAAATTAGTGATCGAAAAAGGTTGAGAATAGTATTTATCATGATTCGATTGCACGGAGAAATTTAAATCGGAAAACATACTATGGGAAAATGTAACAATAACTAAATAACTCTCCCGCTTCGCGGGAGGAAAATCTACCTTTCCGCCTACACCGTGACGAAAAATAACGTTCTCACCACGGGAGGTAAAATAAAGGACCCTTACCCACGTGCTTACCCTCATATTCGCCAGAAAAGTTCCTCACGGCCTAGTGTCGAAATGTACTATTTCAATACCATGTTCTGTACACGACTGATTAAAGAAAAAATATAATTCAATTGAATATAACAGTATGGAACAATACACTATGAGAGTATAATTTGCAAAATGTCCATACTATGATAAAAACAAAATCAATTACCCACTTGTTTTTCGTTGCTTGCGTTTTACAATTTTCCTATCGAATTATGTCTTTGAACTTACGAGCTAAACAGGTGTGTTTTCTGAACTGGAGATACCCCTCTTCGCATCTACATACACCCGCTAGGCAACCGCTGTTCGCCACTTTCATGGAACACTGCTCCGGCACCACGCAGTCGTTTCCCAAGAGGGTTGCTGCAGATTTTTATCGATGTAATAACTAATTTAGTTCTTACAGTTCAAAGAAAAATGAGAGAACTGAAATGTACTTACATTCGACGCAAGTGGTCTCATTGTAAGGTGCAAAGAACGACTGACAGCGGCAGTATCCATGGTGACAGCGGCTGTGTAGGATGCTTGCCTCGCAGTCTTTGTCCCGATAGCACTCGTCATTTATGCGGACTGTTGTGGGGGCCGGCGTCGAAAGAACTAGTCCCTGAACAGAAGAAATAATTTCCTTATCTCCTTTATATCTTGATGCATCGAGTGTTAATTGCGGATGAAGTAATTAAGGCTGACGGAGGGTTTTTGTCGGTGCATTGAGGTTCATTAGTGCAATGATAATTTATGAAAATTGAATTGAGAATTGAAGAAATAATAATCAAGTTTGTTCAATCTACTGTTCAAGGTCAACGAATACTTTTCAATATACTTTGTTTATGAATGAGGATTGCGAACAATTTCAAGTAATTGTTGCAAATTTGTTTTGAAAGCAAAAAAGAATCAATCAATTCGCTTCTTAGAAAAAGTAATTTGATTGAATACCGTGGATGCGTAAGCTTCTGAATAGTCAATGCCCATTTAAATACCACGTCCGAAAACTGAACATTCTAGATTGCCAAAAACTAGAGCCCTGAAATTATCTTTGTATGAACTCCGAAAACTAGTAGATCTAATTTTTTTTTTTCATCAATTATTTGTATTTTTATTGAAATAATCGAAAATAAAGGTAGAAATTTCCCAATCATGTGGAGGGACATACCAATGAATATCTTCAGTTCCTGACGCATATGGTTTGTCTATAGCGCATCCATGGTATATTTTATTTCAGGAACATGTGCTTCGCAACATAAAATCCTATACATTTCTAGGCAAATGACCGTCTATACGTAATATTTCAATACTTCAATGCTCTCCCATACCGGTCATATCCACTATTCACAGTTATCTTATTGAAGCCAGTATTCATCACCATGAAAATATTCTTTATGCTAGGCCCTTTGCTCACTCGTCCATTTCACCTCTACCGAAATTCAAACCTGCTAAGAATTCCGTGACTCAACTTGTTAATTTCTATTTAATGCGACTTTCGTTCACTATAAATTGTTTTATGGAATTGAAATATTAAAATTACTCCAATGAGGCCTATTATGCGAGAAAAAAAGTTTCTAGTAAAAATATGTGAATTTCAACCCTCTGTTGTACTAAAATCTAGGATGCAAAAAATTCAGAATATATGCGATATTTTCACTTATTTTGAGGAAATTTCCGTTGAAAGCCATAGAAACAAATCCCAATTATCAGAGATTAATTCTTCCATCTGGTATGATTGAACTTAAGCATTCTCCCCAGCACTCTACGCTTATGTCAAATTTGACAAAGTGCTGAAAATACCAAATTTGGGTCATCTATTGTTGAGTAGGTACACTGGAAAAGAATGACCAAAATTTCAAGAATTTTGGTCACTTATTCATTCTGGACAAATACATCTTTGAACATTATCTGCTTCTCCATTTTTTGGCAAAGCAATTTTGTTTATTTTGTCATGAACCCAGCAAAAGATGGTTTAAATGTGGTGCCTCTAGCTACTTGCGAAATTTATTCCAAGGATAAATCACTAAGAAAACCCTCAAATAAACCTTCAAAGTCATACAAGTTATCGGATATTTTTCGATAGTTTTGTTGCATAGCAAGAAGGAGCAATTTTGCATATTAAAATCCCCTCGTTACAGCGGGAGGGATTTTGATGCAAAACTTATCTCGATTGTTGTTATGCAGGAAAGCTTGAGAAAAATATCCGATGGATTTTCAAGGTCGAAGGGTATTCGGAAGATTATTTCTTCCATTCTGATCTCAACTGATCAGATTGCAGTTTTAGTTTCAAAACGTAAGTAATATCTGTCAATTGTTTCGACAAAATCCTGAATATATGCGATAAAAATCGCATCGGGGAAAATTCTTATTGTCCTGCCGCCGGGGAAATTACCAGTATAATATGTGTGATGTGACGCCCAATATTGCACTCTGATTGATTGCGGTAAGATCGGAGGAAATGATCATGCATCATCATGCACTAAAAGTATGATCATTATAGAGTTTTTACTTTCGCATGGAAAGTTGGTATTCATTCAAATTTAGGTTTCGAATGTTTCATGTAAGATTAAATAAATATGATCTAAAAAGTCCGAGTATGTGATTGTTAGATGGTGGGTTATGTATGCATGTATGTGTATGGTTCTTTAAAATAAAAATTGTTCTCGAAATTTTCTCATAATTTATAATTATAAATAATATAATTTTAAAGCTTTTTTATAGCGTAGGCTTCTCGAATAAAGAACATTCTTGTTGTTAAATTTTGAACATTTCTTTTTGGTTCTCGATTTGAGAACTTTTCTCACTTGAAATATGTAGGTTTTTGATACGGAATCTTAGGGATTCTTCGTCTGAAATTAAGTGACCAGTTCCTTATTCTCAGCACAATGCTTTCTACACGGCGAGAAATTTTGGATAGAAATTACCCTACCGTTCTATAAAAGTGTATCATGAGTCATAGTTTCTTCACTTTTATCCCGAAATTTAGTAAAAATTAATATATGATGATCAAATTTTATTCTACGTAAGAGAAATTTTATCCTGACGCATAATAAATTTTACCCTTCCAGTCCAATAATTTTTATGTAGATAACAACGAAAATTCTAGAACGGTTGATCATCATCAAATTTGATCATCACATATTAATTTTTACTAAATTTCGGGACAGAAATGAAGAAACGATGACTCATGATACACTTTTATAGAACGGTAGGGTAATTTTTATCCAAAAATTTCTCTCCGTGTAGATCCGTAAGATTCTCTAATTCAGTAACTTGGTTTTGGAAACTAGAAACCTTTTTTCCCTGTGTATATGTAGAGTGGCCTTTTTGGAGGACGCATTTGAAATTAGAATCAATTTGCCATTCCATTCGAACTTCAAAATGGATTTTGTTGAATCCAACGGAGGTGAGGAGAGTAAGGCGAAACAGTATTGATTAGTGATACTACAAATTTATAAGAGGAATATTTACGAGGTCTTTTTTATTTTTAATAATTTTTAACACCAAAATGGGACCAACTTGTCCCATGGGCCTGTCCATCTTGTTGGTTCGGGCCTCATTGAATATTCAACACGGTTCGTTCTGTCCGGGCAGAGGAGATCGGTCCTCTTCTCCCTGATAACAATGGATTTCCTTCAACATTTTTTCCCATCACGATGCCTTTTTTCAGACATCGTTGCTTCTTGTTCTCTACTTCAAAACTCCTTCGTGGACACCGAACCACTTATACATTTTCAATGCGGTTAAGATTATAACAGCTCATCAATGGGGCGTATAAACTATGCATAACTAAGCAAGATGTATATCTTTGAGAAAGCAAGGCATGTATTGACGTGGTCCAATAAAAGGTGTCTCAAAAAGATTTTCAAGACAAAGATATCTTAAACCACCTCGGAAAACCCTACAGAACTTGCGTGTTTGAATCATCAGGGGAAAACTGGTATAACACAGACAACCCACAAGCACACTAAATTATAAATACTTAGGTCAGATTCATTATGGTGTTAGTCATATTAAGTCACAAGCGCCACTTGAAAACTTTCCGATATTTCTTCTCAAGTTTCAAACTTCACATTTTTTTAGCTCTACACAAAACACGAAAAAGTAAATCCAGTCAAAAGTACCGCGAAAAAGTCGTAAAAATATCGCACAATTACATATCGTAAAAAACGTTCGAAATGTAATTGTGCGGCATGTTGTCACGTCCAACATATTTTCTCTGTGAATTTTCATGAAGTGTCAAGTGAAAATTGTTCTTCAATCATATAAAACCTGCGGAATTGACCAGAGGATTGGACTCTTGCTTTGCAATTTCGACGTGAAATTTTTTGCATTGCAGGAAAAAACTCTTAAATGGCGTTTAACTCTATGATTATATATGAATTATCACTTAATTCTACTTGATCCATTTCCTTAGTTCATATTTGTATTTGTATCTGTTTCTATATACTTCATAAAGACTGGCTGATCAAGGACTAACTTCCCCCTCCACGATCCCCAAAACCGTTTTTTTTTCGGTAAAAAAATATTTTGAAAAATATAAGAAAAATTGAAACCAAGTTTTTTGCACGAAAAAATTCTGCAAAAAAAAGATTTTAGAGTACAGATTTTATTAATCTGTACGTGGCACTACAGCTTTTGCCCGATTTCACAACTTTTTGTAAACAGACCGACGGTCGTTTTTGACAAGTGTTTTTTGTTTACAAAAGACCTTTTGTTTTTTTGGTTAAATTTACTCTGAGGAAAAAAAGATATTTATAAAAAAAATTTGAATTTTTCATGGTTTGGGTGAAAAAAAAGTCTGCATTATGCGAAACCAGCATCAGTTGTTCTTCGTTCTAGTTATCCAATACTCCAAGATGAAAAATACATTCTTAAATAGAATAATGATGCCAAAATATCATTACATCGTGATATGAACTCTGTTAGTAAGAACCAAATATTTTCGATATAGTTCCGCTTAGGGGTGAAAAATGGCGGTAATTTTTGACATGCATCAAGTCAGTCGTAAATTTGCCATTTTTTGACTATTTCTGACTTAACACATACCTTGTGATAGTTAAGATTTTTCTTGTCATTCTTGTAACACGGGATTCAGTCTCTTTTTTTCTGACCATAAATGGTTAGTAATTGACATGAAATTTACGTGTAAAATGATGGTAAATTACATCCCTAGCTCTGCTTTATGATCAAAATTCTTATCCTGAAATAGTAGGATGTTGTATGTGTGATGCCTCTCCGAGCTAAATATTCGTTACTGAAAGCATACCCAGAAAAAAAATCCTCATTTTTAGTCACATATTGTGATGAAAAATAGCGTTCGGCACTGGTGGGAAATGTGTTCTTGTACCCTTCGTTATTATTGGAGTCCTCCCACAGGTCAAAAATAGTATAATTCCCACCAAGGGACGGAAAATAAAGAAGTCGTGCCCACGTGCAGAATAAGTAAGCACGTGGGTAAGGGTCCTTTATTTTACCTTCCGTGGTGAGAACGTTATTTTTCGTCACGGCGTAGGCTGAAAGGCAGATTTTCCTCCCGCGAAACGGGAGAGTTATTTAGTTATTGTTACATTTTCCCACAGTATGTTTTCCGATTTTAATTTCTCCGTGCAATCGAATCAT